GATTTGTCTCTTAATAGCCAAATACAATGTCTCCTCTTCAAGCCTCATGGCATTACACATCTGGAAGGAATTTAACACTGCTGACTATGCTCACTTCTTTGAATATCCCTCCTCCCACTTGACTTCCATGACTGTATTTTTATCTATTGTTTCAATTACTGTCTACCTTTGATGATTCTCCTATCCCTTAAAAGTTCCTTTCTCAAGTTTATATTATTGACTTTCTTACTTCTCTGCGTGCCCTTAATGAATGATCTCATTGACCTGTGGCTTCAATTGCTATCTCTAAGGTCATCAGCCTCCATTGTTCCTGACTCAGAGATTATATTTACACTATCCACAAGAAGTCTCCATTTTTATATCCTGGAGGAATTTCAAAATAGACAAAAGTGAAAATATTGTCTATTTCTGCTTCAACATACCTACAGCTTCTATTGTCTCATCTACCCTAATGACAGGGTGCATGTATATGTATATTTAGTGTCTACTACAGAAACTTTTAATGATCTATACCACATAGATGATATGATTTTCAGTTTCCTCCATATTTATTTTAAAAATCACATGGACTGTGGGGAGATAGGGGAATTTCCAGAACCTTTAGAAGCTTGATAATACTGTAGAAGGCCAGAAGTTCCCATTTTTTCTTCAGCTTCTCTTATATATGCTACTAAGGACTTGGTTATGAAAGAGTTAGTTGAGAATTGACTATTCCTTTTATCTCTGAAATCAATCATGAAATAAAAGTATAAACAATCAAATTTTTGTATTTCAGGTCTCTGGCTTACAAGAAGTTTCTAAAAGGCAACAGATGGATCAACTGCCTAGAATGAATGAGAATCTAGTGAAAACGTACGTAAGTCTAGCTATATCTTTTCTTTCTAATTAATTATATTTGCATGTGAATGGTATTGACAAAACAGGTGTCTGTTATATTTTGTAAGTTGAACTTCTAGATTTTATAGCAACAGTATAAAATAGCAGATGTTAAGAGAAGTTAAAGAAGTTTATAATCTCTGTTCACTATTTATATACATTATTTTAGATCTCAAAAACATTTTTGTTCCTTACTGTGAATTAAATGTCCCCCAAAACACATTGAAACTTAATCTCCATTGTAACAGTATTAAGAGGGTGGGAAACCCTATTATGGTAATTGAAAGGCAGGTGTTCTTTAAGGTGATTAGATTGTGAGGACCTGCCTTAATGAATGGATTGATCCATTCATGTAATAATGAGTTGATGGCGTAATGTGTGGTCATGGGCGTGGTGCCAATGGCTTCATAAGGAGAGCGAGTGGGTGGGTTAGCTCTCTTGCTCAGCCCATTTTTGCCATATGATACCCTGCATTGCTGTAGGAGGCCCTCACTAGATGTGTTTCCTCAACTTGAAATTTCCCAGCCTCTGAAACTATATAAATTTCATTTATTTATAAATTATCCAGTTTCAGGTATTCTGTTATAAGCAACAGAAAAGGACTAATACAGTCCTCAAACATGAATAATATCTTATTTTTTAAACTAAAACATACTGTACCCAAGGAGAGCTTAAACTACACCATTAACAATTATATAAATACAATTAAAGTGTCAGCCTTAACCTTTTTAGTGAGGAAAAATCTTCATCGCAGTGGACACTGAAATAAACGTAGATACCAAAGAAGTTTAAANCTCTCTTGTTCAGCCCATTTTTGCCATATGATACCCTGCATTGCTGTAGGAGGCCCTCACTAGATGTGTTTCCTCAACTTGAAATTTCCCAGCCTCTGAAACTGTATAAATTTCATTTATTTATAAATTACCCAGTTTCAGGTATTCTGTTATAAGCAACAGAAAAGGACTAATACAGTCCTCAAACATGAATAATATCTTATTTTTTAAACTAAAACATACTGTACCCAAGGAGAGCTTAAACTACACCATTAACAATTATATAAATACAATTAAAGTGTCAGCCTTAACCTTTTTAGTGAGGAAAAATCTTCATCGCAGTGGACACTGAAATAAACGTAGATACCAAAGAAGTTTAAATTTCACTTCCTATGTAAACAAAACCAGTTTAGGATACATAAAGAACAGGAATGTTTTGTGGATCTTAAAGGTGATATCTTTACACGATTTTTCCTGGTCCTGTACTAAGTACAGAAGAATTACTCAGGCAGCCCTTGTCTTATGTAACCTTAGCGCAGTAGGGAAATATACTCATATATAACTTAACACTACAGAAAATTAAACCAAGATATAAATTAGCTATAAGTCAGAATCTTTTTCAAATACAGATTTAGGTAAGAGACACTCAAGTGTATGCAATAGAGAGAATTTCTTTGGTGAAGATTAATGAGGTAGCAACATATTGTTCAATATTTGGCTAGATGGATCAAGTGGACTATTCTTGCTCAAATAGTCATAAATGTTTTAAATTATAATTCATTATATTTATGCATTTTCATATTGGAAATATAATATAGTTTAAATATTAAAGTAAATTTTGATGAAGAACTTTCCTGTAAAAAACTATTATACCACTGTGCTGGGGTCCCCAAGATCACTCCCATGTACAGTGACTCACTAGAAAAACTCACAGGGATCAGCATGTTTTGTACTCATGGCTAAGATTTATTACAGTGAAAGGATACAAAGCAAAATCAACAAAGGGAAAAGGCACATAGGACGAAGTCTGGGAAAACTAGGTGCAGGCTTCTAAAAGTTCTCTCTGAGTAGAGTCACACAGGACACACTTAATTCTTCCAGCAACAAGCTGTGACAAGTATGACTGCACAAGAAGTTTTTCTACCAGGGAAGCTCATTAAATACTTAGCATCCAAGGTTTTTATTTGGAGCAGATCACATCTGCATCCTCTGCCTAACGTGTACCAAAATTCCAGATTCCCAGAAGGAAACCAGGTGTTCAATATAAACCATATTGTTTGTACAAACATTGTAGGTGCA